ATTTAAATACCAAGATAAGAAGTAAAAAAAAGAACTTGTTTTAAGATAAGTTAAATTAATAGGCCAGAGACCATAAAGGCCAAACAATCTGATACAGAACCAGCATCGGAATCAGTAAAGGCTAAAATGTTATAAATGAAAGGGAACCGGGTTCTAAAAGGGTGCTTAACTATAATTTCCCCCAAAAAATCTCACAGCTGCAATACTAAAAAAGCACAACAGAGAGCAGTCAGGTGCCATAAAATGTAGAGGATTTCATTAATGCAAATGATAGTGGATAACAGGGCAGACGGAAGTAGTACAAAGGCAAAGTGCATAGTCCCATTTGATAAAATAAAGGAACACTCTGGAACTTAGTCGAAACTAAGTTGTTATGGAGCCAAGAGGTCCCTGGCACTGGCTCACCTTAAACCGTTTAAGAAAGGTTTAACTCCGAAGTCTTTGTACCAGTGTCGTATCCCCTTGCCTCTCTGCCCTTCGGTTTTCTAGAAACCGGAAGGCTCTTGCAGAATCGGGCAACGGCACCGCTGATTGGATGAGAGTGGTCAGCAGGTGCTCTCAGCCAATTAGTGAAGTTACATAGTCCATTAATAAAACTGGCTTAAAAAAAGTAGGGAGAGTTGGCGCTGGAACAAAGACTTTGCAGATAAACCGTTCGCAAAAGTTTAACTCCCTTACGGGAGCCAGCACCAGGGACATCCTGGCACCACAACTACTTAATTTCTATGAAGTTGTTATGGTGCCAAAACTGTTCCTTTAACATAGAGAACTCAAACAGGTGTTATGGTAGAAGTGAATGGTATATATTACAGGGGTAGGCAACCGTCGGCACTCCAGATGTGGACTGCATCTACCACAATGCTCTTACAGCCATAATGTTGGCAAAGCATCACGGGAGGTGTAGTCCAAAACATCTGCAGTGCCGAAGGTTGCCTATCCCTGATATATAATATACAGAGAACTGTAACGATCTGACCACATTGTGAACTAACTAAATAGTGTATTGTAGTGAAAACCATATTCACAAATTCAGGAGAAAATAGCTGTGATTATACCTGGACTAGAATGTATTTCTAATGCAGCTGTTTTGGCTCAAATATAGAAATTTAGTTTTCCATTTCACTACAATTAGAGAAAATGTATGACCAACTTACCGTAATTTTCTTTTCCTGGCTATTTCTCATGGCAGCATCACTTATGGGTAGCTCCTCCCTTAGTTGTCACAGGACATGAATTAATTAGATTAATTAATTAGACTGATAGGTGTAAAGAGTCCCTCCTCCCCTTATATGGCAGTCTAATTATAAAGCTGATTATGATACTGCCATGAGAAAAAGCCAGGAAAAGAAAATTATGGTAAGTTGGTCATAAATTTTCTCTATTCCTGGCTAATCATGGCAGCAGCACTTATGAGTAATACCTAAGCTAACAGAAAATTAGGGTGGGTATAAAAAACAAGAAAAAACACTGTACAGAACACTCAAGCTGCAAAGTGTTTTAATATTAGTGAGATAATTACACCGTAGACCAGCGGTTCCCAAACTAT